TCTCCTGTGTCGAACTGGACAGTCAAACATCTTCTTGTTGCACCCAAGCACTCCACCCCATTCCACCTGCCTCCCACTAAATATTCAATGGCGGGAGTGTACGGAATGTGCTCTCCAGTGGGCGGCTGGCTTTGGGTGCCTCTAAGTGACTGCAATTGTCGAATTTTCCGGCGCCGTGTGAAGGTCTGAGGTCTACCTCCGCGCCTCAAAAGGCATGTCTGAGACATTGCAGGATCGCGAAAACGATGTATACCCTATGCAACAAGAATGGGCCACAATAGTCAAGGTCGGTCTGCTTTGCATATTATCATTTCCAACACGCAAGATAGTCCATCCACCGCTTAGTTTTGCCCCACAGTCCCAGCTCTCCCTGGGACCCACAGGCATCCTGCAGTTCTGCCCAGTTCTACCCGTTTCAAGATTCGTACTTGCAGGGTAGGGCCTCTTAGAACGCCCTGGTGGTGCCATCTCAAGCATGGTCAACTTTGTGGCATTTGTGCGGCCCATCTGCCGAGAGACAAAAGGCAACACCAAGGCGTCTAGCATCAACACATTGAGGACATTGATCAGGCCAATTGCTCGGAGATGATGGATTTTGAACTTGGCCCCATAAGCTCATACAGTGAACACTGGCTGATTCTACTGTTCCACGAGGTTCAAAATCCGAGCCTCAGCAGGAATTGAAAATTGAGGACGCCCACGTACGCCCATAACAGTGAGCAACATTTCTCAGGTGTTAGCAAGGCACAAATCCTTGAGTCTATCGGTAAAGCAGCGGGATTCAGAGGGCAGGGGCGCGAGAGTTGGAGCTCCTCAACCTCTCCGGATTCTATGGCATTGGCTAAGACAAAAGCTGACAGGATTCGGCCAGCCCGTGCATTTTCCGGAAATCATAGATTTCTGGTTGCATAAGGGGGGGGGTAGGTAGGCCGCTAGTTAGCTAGGTAGCTAGTAGCTTACTTAAGCTACCAATGTGGACGTAGGATAGCGCTCGCACTATAATGATTTGGTTCCTAGATTTTAAGGAACACTTAAGGTTTTAGGAGTCATCAGGATTGGCCTTTGCAGCTCAAAGGTCTGCACAAAACATGCCTAAACGTATTCCGAGGAAAACGCACCAGCATTCCTGGCAGTATGTCGCCCATTTGAATGGGAAATGGAAATACGCGGTGGCGCGTCCACGGAGCTTGTCATCAAGCGCCGCAAGCTCGCAGGGGACATCAGCCACCACAAAGGAATCAGCACAACCTGGCCACTCGCTTTATTGCAAGCCGGTCGCATTCATGGCAACTCAACGGTCTAGCACTACACGCGCCAGCTCTAAGCTTCATTGCGAAGTCGAGCCACCCTTTAAGGTGGCACATGTCAAGCACCGTAGTCAAAGCAAAAGAGCGGAGCTTTGCCGCTAACCATAGGGGCAAAACCCCGATTCCATCCTGTCCGCCCCATTCCATCCGAAGCATGCAACTTCGAAGGACCAGGCTGGACTTGGAGGATCTCTTCGCCACTTTGGACTGATCGCTGGAAGACAAAACCTGTCAACAAAAGTTAAAAGCTTCGCACTTGGCATATTGCTCAGAAACCCTGAGAAAACAACCACACAAGCGCTGGACCGTTCTTCATCCTGTTTCACATGCTGTGTCCAAATGATCCAGTGCTTGGTGGCCACAGGGATCCGAACGAGAAAAGCACTGATACCCCATGGGACGTGGGCAGGTCATGAGAAAAGGCCAAGCCGAGTGCCAACGACCCGGCCAAGGGGGGTTCCATCCCTTTACACAGTCAATTCCACCCATTCTCAGAGTTTCGGAGCCGAGTTTCGGAGTATTCTGTGCCTGTTCAGCCAACAGCATCAAACTTCAAACTTCCGTCTAGCTGCTTGTAGAATCCTTTTTCCATTCCTTAGGTAAACGGGGCAAATGCCTGACTCAAATGCAAAAGTCTGCCGGTCCAACTGTTTTTCTAAATGATGACCAACGTGCATGTCTCTGTGACTGTGTGTGTCTCTCTCTCTCTCTCTCTGTCTGCACTATTGGCAGCATATTACAATACTTCACGTAAATGGAAGGAGCATGCTTCTTCCATCTTCAACAAAAATGCAGAAGTTGGGCTGCTTGGGATTCTAGTCAAAACAACAGCTCTGGCCATCTGAAATGCACGTGTCCAATCTTGAAGACCGCCCGTCGCCCGTGATTGTTTCCGATGGTCCTGTGCTACCAAAGTGGCGTGCTTTGTCGCAGCTTATGTCTCACTTTGTCCAACAGCTCCTGCCACCAAACCATTTGATACCATTTATTGAGCTGCACGCTGGAGCAGCATCTACAGGAGAACTTTGGAAAATCAACGGGCTTCAAATCTCAGGGCGCATGAACAACAAGGGGAGAGTGTACTATGTACATATATATGTATATAAATTATGTATGATTTCTGGCTAGGACCTCTCACTTCCAGCATATTACCAGCAACCTTGATCTTCACAATGCGCATCATTGATCTGCTCTGCTCCTGCAATCGTACTTCTTCTGGACCGCTGCTGAGGTGAATCACCCGTTGCGCGATGTAGTTGCCAAAGCGGTCCAACCTAGGCGGGGAAATGACTTGGGCACCATTTCTGAGAAGGATTCTTTCCCACAGGTTGCCTGTGGTCGGTGAGCATCAAATTGTCTCTCAAGACTGTGACAGAGAGGCAACTTTGCACCGCAACCAATATATAATATTTTGCAAAGAAAGTGTTGATGACGCCAAAGGCCAAAGGGCAATATCCCCAACAAAGGAGGTCCATCGCCCCACAAAAGCTCAGCAAGCAGGGCGCGGCGCTCCTGATCTTTGCACAATTAAAGTGAACAATGTAGCTTTGCTGGAAAAGTTGAGCTTCTGAACGAAACAATGCAAGCACCGCCCCGGAAAAGCAAACTATCCAAAACTTATGCATGTGTGTACTGTATCACATATATATATATATATATATTCACGTCATATGTGAAGCCTGCACAACAGCTAGCGGCTTCTGTGTGCAGCACCAACTATGACAATCCAAAATCCCAGAACTGAACGGACACAAAACGGCCCTCTGAGGTTCGTGCAGTTCCCCAAATCTGTACTTTCTACACAGCATCCACGAGCTGACTATAGCAACTTCTGTATGTCAACATATGCCAACTCTCTCTCCTCTTCAAGTTCGCCTGTGGCGATATCGAGGCATTTCTCCTGGAGTGCGCGGGGGGGTAGTGGATGTCTTCCAAAATTGCAATTGTCACTATTGACCCTGCTGAGCGACATGGTAATTGGACATTGGTCGGGTAAGGTGGGTTGGAGCCTGGAAACAGGCTTCCGAGCATGCCAACACAATCCCATGAAGGAAGAGTTGAATCAAGTCCGCATAGCTGCTAAAACCACCGCTCGCCATCCCGCTCCAAAACTAAGCTCGATTGTCGATTGCGGGCTGATTGAAGAATATGACCGCGGACCTAAGATCCCGGTGGGAACAACCCACAACGCACACAGTCTGCACGTGCTGTGGGTCCTAAATGGAGAAATCATGAGAAATCATATTGAGCATAATTGCTCATCTCAATCAATCTATTTCTCTGTACGGCCAATCAAGTCTAGCTGGCACCCCCCTGAGTTCTTCCTATTCGGGCATTGCATCCAAAGCCGATCATGGAGCATGATGAAACCTCTCGAACACTGTGCCATGTCAATTACATTGAACTCAAAGCCTTAAAGCATTTAATGTTCTGTGCATGCGCACTCACACACACACACATTGCATCAAGTCTTGCCTATACTATACTGCAACGCTCTGTCGCACTAGGGTTGAGGCATATCGGATAATGACTCGCTGGTCATCAGGTTCGCCGTAGGACAAAACCTGAGGGCTTACAGACTCACAGGCGAGAGCGGATGCCTGTTTGGCTTTGGCGCAGCCGGAGGCAACTTACAAACGGGCGGACTGCCCGCCAAAGGTCAAGTCCTCTTTCAAGTCCTCTTTTACAAAAAGATTCCAGGCAACATATTGCTAATCAGGTATCACATATCTTCCTGTTCCTCTTCCTTCTGCAAACTCTGCGTGGAATGAATGCAAGCAGCAAACCTGACATGTGTGTGTGTGTGTGGGGCGTGTGCGCACGCCATGGATTCATGTTTTTTGGCAGAAGGCTTTCCTTTTTTTCCGGTTACAGTAATTTTCCAGCAAGTGGAAGCAGGAACTCTCGATTCCCCGGTGATACTTGGGCTGGTCACCCAGCGTACCTGCGTTTTGACTCCCACTTCCTAATTACTTGGTTCCGTTCATCGTTTGAGCCAAATCTCTGGCCTTTACTTCGGTTCTTCAGTTTTGCCACGGACTTTTGAGAACTTGGAACTTGCATTTTGGACTTTTGAACCTGGTTGCGTTGTATACCTGTCCATGTGCCCTCCCCGAGACAAGCATGGAAGCTGAGCAGAGCCCCCTTGTGGAGGGAAATGGTCTTCCCTGTTCCAGTTCCATGATTGTTTCAGGGAGTGTAGGCCATTTGGTTGTCGAGGCGTCTTCAAAGCATTTGCCAACATTTCATACACACTTTCAATCCCGAGTTTGTTCGCCAGAGTGTGGGACATCAAGTGCAATTGATTTTGAAGTACCAAAAGCAAATTCACCTACTGTATATGATGTTTGTCACTGCTTATATATATAATATATTGTTATAAAACAATGTAGCTTGGGCGTAATCATCCCATTACCAAAAGCAGTGGATGATGATGCTTAATAAAGACCTTTCCCCCAAATAGTGATTTTTCATGATTTTCTACTGTTGCTTTACTGGGATACGCCCTATATAGTATTCAGGCTATTCACAGCCCCGCCGCAAACAATGTGCAAACACCAGCATTTTGTCAACAACGCTGTGATGCTCCTGATGTCTCTCAGTGGTCAGAGTGGTCTCCCAGTGTCTCTTCGGTGCGGAGGTGAAAACCGAGGTGCTGCACGAATCACATTGTGCCCATAGGTATCCTTTACAAGGCGCGGCACCTGCAACAAGGAGCCAAGAAAGGACTCAAACTGATCCAGTTTGCATCCCTTGACAGCATCAAGCGAGCTGACATTGACAGCACATGTACGTGTCTCGAAGAAATCTCCGTCACCAAACCTTTTGCCATTTGTTGGGATCAATCCGGGTGCAAACATCCTGACAAGTCTCTAAGTAACGTCAGTGGGTAGCACACGGTAGGGCTGACGCTCGGAAAAGTTGACACCCAGCAGGCCTCCTTCAGCAAATTGTCCAAGAGTGTTCGTAGCTTCTCGTGCGTGCAATGCTCGATTAGTCGTTGCAGCACGCGGCAGCTATACCTATATAGGTGGGAAGGTACCGCGATGCAACTCAATGTCATAGTCAGGAAATGATATGAGGAACAAACCAGCAGTGTCTTTCCCCACAATGCCTTCGAGCTTGCAGCTTATTGTAGAACAAACTGGTCTAAAAGACACAAGAAGGAAGCTGCACTCACACAAGTAACTAAGTACGCCCACATAAGAGCATGCACATCTGCACATCTGTATATGCATTACTAAATTAAAGATGTCGACAGTAATTACAATTACCTGTGTCATGCATAAGCGAGATGCATCCATAATCAAGGACCCACAATGCTACAATGATCTACAACATGCTTGGAGACAAGCCTGCACTCGGCAGGCACATATGTTACTGCAAGCTGTCGGGACACCAACAACGGAACCAAGGAGCTGATGCTGAGCAGCCTCAACAGCATGCGCCTGCTGGTCGGTGAAATCTGAACCATCGGTGATTGGCGTGGCTTTTGCAGAATCTCGTATGATCAGAGATTTCACCATCACCCAGGCTAGGTCATCAGGGCAAGGGTCGAACCCTGGCGAAGCAAAAAGGAGGCTACTAGGAACAAGGGCATCGCTGCTAGTAACAAGTGCCTTGCTAGTAGTAACGAGAAGCTAATAGAAACAATAATTAGTAATTAGAATTATTATAATTAGAATAAAACTAAATTAAATTAGAATTAAATTAACATAGGCAGTAACGCATGGTAAAGATCAGGCACTTGGCATGTTTGGAGTCGACATAGAACCGCGGGCAAATGCGGCAGAGTCAGCTGAAACCGGTCATTTTCAAATATGCGCACCCAACTCTCTGGAACAAAGGTTTGTCAATATGTTTGCAATATTTTGCAATCAAGAACTGCAATTAACTATCAGGCACGACTGCCGGATTGGTTATGAACCCCTCATGCACAACCTAGAGTCACATACTGCGCTTAGCGCCATACTCTCATTGTCATTGCTATTGTGAACTTGATCACCAGCATGAACATCTATCTGCCATCAATAGGGCGAGGCTAAACGCATTTGTTTGGAAGGCCAGGCTTCAACCTCGCCTCGATGCCTTGCACGATAAAACCCACACCACTGGCAGGCAGCAATTGCACACACTTCTGCAGCACAAAGTTCGCGTGCATGTGGCGACCTTGGCGAACATATCATGATAGGTCATGGAAGCCAGAAGCTGAATATATGGAGACATGAACGTGACATAAGGCATCACCCCAAGTCTTCAAGAATCATGGCAGGTGTCATTCTGAATGCCAAGGAACTGCACGCAAAGACTTCGCCTGAGGGGATATTGGGTCAGGTCACCCGGCTGCCCAAACAACATTCCATTAGCATTCCACGAACTTCTCAAAACAGCATCCAGGCCACTGGATGCAAAAGCAAGCCGGTCTATGCACGCACAAGAACACGCACACGCATGCATATGTATACAGTGTGTATATATATATATATCGCTCTCTCTCTCTCTCTCCCTAGATGCACTTCCCATACAACATTTAATATAGCAAAAATAGACGAGTACAAACACACACACAAATACGGTATAAGTATATATATATATAGTATACATATGCATTCGCCACAAATGAACATCAAAAGCACCCGCACCTTCAATTTCAATGGCCAGCTGACGCTGTACTTCCCTATTTGACACCTGGCACAAAGCAGCCAAACGTGGAAGGGCACTCCACACTGCTGCCGTGTTAAAGTCAATCTAACAGCAAACAAGTGCACGTCTTTTGAACATAAGCAGAGTTGTGCAGGATTTTGATACTCCCACAATGGCCTCCAACACACGCTGCAAGATTCGGCAACCAAACTTGTCGCGTGCAAGCCTACAGGGAAGAGTGTTCAGACATATTCACAACCGATAGAACGCTACTCCAACAGGGAATGTATGTGAATGTATTACTTGATTCATCTTTGCTCACCCTGTTGGAAGGAATGTGGTGGATGTTCCAAGTCTAGGAATGGACAAAATTCCTATTGGGAACATCTTGAGGGGGCCTCTAGACTCTGCAAAATGCCTGCTATGCACAGTCCTCAACAAAGTCCTGATCAGGATCTTTCGAAAGCCCTAAAAATATGTTTTCTGGAACGGACATGGGCCACATGATGCCACATGGATCTGTAGATCTGCTGCCAAGTTGCTTCAGCACAGCATTTTGGCACTGCTTCGCCAACTCGACACCCAAGCGCTCATCACCGCCCTGCCCCGTGTGATCCCTGGTGTAGTCCCCAACTCCCCAACAATACTTGCGAATGTCTGTGCCCAACGGCCCCTCAGCTTCACTGGGTGCCGAGGTTATTGTAGTTCATACATATTATACTATTCAAAAAGGTGCCTCACATGACAAGCAACGCGACCGGAAACCACCCCACGGGAGAGCGAGAAAACTAACCAAAATCGCCAAAAGCAACTTACAATTAGAGATGTAATTACAGTAGTTGGTTGGGCGGGCGTAGATGATCGTACGTCTTCGGCCACTTTTTGTCATTTTGTAACCTTCTTGGTATGATGCATTGTGTTGAATAGGAGGTGGGGAGGTTATGACATGTTTCTAAAGAAGGTTGTTCGTCTAGGCTTGCAGTATAGACAGGTTTCTCATCAAAATCACGAGTTCTCCAAGCGAGTGGCCACGACTTCCTCAAATTTAAGCAATTGGGGTGGCACTCAGTGCATGGATCGTTGGTGGCTTTCGCTGAAAAGTTTTGTGCCTAGCTCTTGTAATCGAAGAATTCCGAAGAAGGAAGCATCTTGCACCCCAACATACAAACGTATGTTTTCCAATGGGTGTGGCGGGAGCATGTACTCAAGGGGCAAACTCAGAAACAGATTCTGGACATGCTGTCCGCACTCTTTTGATGTATCCGCTTCAGAAGAAAAAGGCGTTGGGAGATCCCGAAACGAATTAGTTTTTCGAGACCCCCCAAAAAGCAAAAAAACAAGATGATTCATTCAGCAGATCATGCACTTGCTTCCGCCAATAGAACTTCCAACATAAATCCGAAAAATACATGTCAATTCCCCGTGCAATGGCCAGAAAACCATACGGCCATCTACACACGGCGCACCAATTAGTTAGCACGCCTATTTTAGATCGATGTCGAATTAGGATCTATGTATATAATGACTAATTGAATGTTAGCAATGGAATTAATGTCACAGTGTCATCAAGGCATTGCTTTGCATTAAAGGCATCACGTATTTGCTTACAATATTATTGAAGGGGTTCATCTTATGGGAAGTCTGGCTGTGGAGGTCGTGTGAGAATTGGGTCACTGGCAATGAGAGGAACATAGTGGAACAGGATTGTATGGATGAACCGGCAAGGACATACCACGTTGCTGCATGTAGGCTTGATCAGGCTTGAATCATGCCAACGAGTGCATGTCGGTTCGCTACTTTCGGTCAAAATGTGAACTCTGTGGTGTGGGTATGCCGAAAGCATACTGGAGTAAGAGATTTACCAGATCCATTTATTTTTTAAACGGTTGCGGTATTGAGGCTCATCACGGAGATCTTGGATGTAGCGCATGACAGTTTCAAGTGTCTTTTCTTAACTGGTCGGTTGTATAATTGTATAACATTGTATAACTATATCTGTCGGAACCAAGCCAAACTGGGAGGTATTCTGTGGTGGCGACTACGTATTGAATCAGTAGGACGTGCACGAGTGTCGAGGGGGATGTCTAAGCGTGCAAGTCTGTAATCGATCGGGTACGAATGGCTGGTACGTTCTGGTTGGGCCATGTTGGGCCAGCAAAATCAACTATGCCATGAAAATTACGACCCCAATCCAAAGCCATTGTTGTTCCTGTTTTGCCTTTCGTCTTCAGTCTTTATCCATCTTTGTCTTGCGTTCAAAATGTCCCTGGTGTGTTCCCCTGCTGTCAGAAATTCTTATACCAACTGCGATCCGACATAAAGAAGTGAGTGAAGCCTAATATTCGTGAAGCACGAGCTTGCACGCCCACCGCGGCAATTGTACGTCACTCGCCAAGTTGACCCACAACTTGAGTGTGAAGCTGGGCAATGGGTTTCTTCCCCGTGAGCAAAGTTAAGACTCCAAGCCCTGCACACTGCATTGCATTCTTCATGATGGGTCCTCCAACCGCAAGAAGTGAGGCACCTCCAACAACTCCAACAGCACGGCTGAGGCATGCTCGTGACCTGGGTCACTGTTCTGTTGGAAATGCTTCCAAAAAGGGCACACACTCACAGGATGCTCATCTACATGCCAATCTGATGACTGATGCAACACTCTGACTGCAAATATATGCATTAAATATATATATATATGTATCTACGTTACACTCTGTGTACATAAAGCAAGCAACAACACAATCCTTCCAAATCAATGTTCTTATTCTTGGCCGACCTACCTGTTCACTGCACTTCCTGGGTCCAAATCGCTTAAATTATACACTTCGGCACGTGACAAATTCAATAATGTAATAATGATTCTGCATATCATATCCACCAAAAAACAGGAAGTGGCAGCACGGATGCAAAGGCAACGACAAGATAAGCGGACGAGACGTGGCAGTGCTGCGTTCAGCAATGCCTCCTGCAATCTCTTCACAAGGCTGGAAGAAATAAACATGCCTTTGCAAACATTCCAAGTGATGACATGTGATGACATTGTCTTTTCTTTTCTGTTTTTGAACCGAGCCGTAAAACTGGAGTGGAAGGATGTTGCACAGCTTGAATAATCCTAATGCCTGTTCACAGATGTTGTGCTACACCGCACCTTCGACTGGGCAGACAGGTGCTGCACTAACAGCCGGGAGCCCTGCTGATCCCGCATCAATCGCTGCACCTAACAACAGCATGTCGCTACACTCTAAACCATATTCAATATAATCTTGGGATCAAAAGATCTTGAATAGATAAATGTATCTATATATGTAAACTACTAAATATTAAATATATCAACAAAAATCATATATATTAATATGTTGTGTCAAAGTTGTCATGGGTAGTCGATACATATCCGATACCACTTGGCAAAGTAACACATGTTGGAACAAAACGGAGCTGGCTTAACGTCAAAGCCGGTACACTACTGCAAATTCAGCCCCCCAAAAAAGAGAACTGCATTGTGTCTTCAATCAATCTAAATTTTGTAGCATGGATGATTTTACAGTTTAGTTGCTTCAGAAGTTCCATGCATAGCTTCACCCATCCTTTAGCCTCGGCAGCTGGTAGCTTCCCCGCTAAAGCGGCGGCCAATGGCAAATCACCTCAAAGAAGACTGATTTGAAGGGCTGTCTACTGCCTGTATGCAGGTAGGTTGGCAGCCAGTTTGTTAGGTAAGTTTGGGGTCTGGGTGGCAGCTCAGTCTGACTTCCGCCAACTAATCTGAAGCAACACGGGTATAATTAGTATAGATGTTAATGTTTACTGTGTCATTATTTACAATACATGCATGCCAGTGCCAGGCTTGATGACAAACGAAGCCCCAATTGTATAACAACAAAAACCTAGTGTCCAAAACAACTCACTCCGCTCAGTTGCTACTGGATGCTGGCCCTTCTGCCGGAGTCAAAGGCGACACCGGCGACAAGGATGACAAGGCTGAATACCTTGGCAATGCGACCCTTCCCTGGAGCCTGACCACTGACCACCAACAATGTCAAAGTCATCGGAAAAAAACACACCAAGCTTCCACCCTAAAGAGTCCCCCAAAGCACGCACCCTCACTCAGGCACCCTCAGGAGCTCTATCTAAGGAATGTGTTCTCATGTTGACGCAGTTTCATGTAATAACAAACCAAGTGTTCGGACCTCGTCAAGGGCGTCACTGATGCTGGGGACGCTTCGCCTGGGCAATTGACAAGCAGGTGTAGCCATATTTTCTTGCATAGCCATCCGCAGCAGTGCCGAATGTGCGGACCAAAAGCTTTCAGGCATATGCAATGCCGAGAGCAAATACCTACAATATGTCCACTGCTGATAAAGATCTCTGTGGGAAAACAGGTATAACAATAGTCGTACCATGTCGTAGTAGTAACAAGAAGCTACTAGGAACAAGTGCATCGCTACTAGGAA